GCCAGGAGGGTCTTATCAGCAACAGTGGGGAATGAGTTCTATAAATAGTGCACAAAGTGAAACACTTTGTAATCATTATCAAAAACATCTCCTCACAACTCAAAAGACTTCAAGAAAGCAATAATTAACTAATGATTTTCTAATATGTAATGAAAATGTGGAGAAATCTCCACACTACTCTCTCTAGTTTATATTTAGGTATAATCCACCCTATTCTAAGAATTGTAATTTAGTAGATTGAAAAAAAAAAGCCTCTAAAAATAGCAGTTCCAAAGGTACATTTTTTTGGCTACCTCCAACTTCAATTTATACATTCCATCGACTTAAATAGCCTTTTAAGGTTTGACAATACAAAATTCAATTTCTGGCTTCACATTTGGGCTGTAAGAAAATGCTATCATTAAAATTTGAGGTTCTTTCCCAAAAACTCAAAACGATTCAGATGTAATAACTTGGATGTGTAGATCAAGTGTCAGCAAACTATGACCTGTGAGCCAAATTTAGTCCCCTGCCTAAACTTGTAAATTAAATTTTTGGAACTTAGCCACTATCATTTGCTTGCATATTGTCTATGACACTTTTGACAATAGAATCACAGTGGAGGTAGTTGCCATAGAGACTATATGACCTGTAACCTACAATATTTATTGTCTTGTCCTTTAGGGAGAAGTTTGCTGACTTTTGTTTGAGACTCATGGAATTAGAGTATAAAATATCCAGAAAACTATGGATTTTTAGCGATGTGATTATATCGTCAATAAATAAGATTCTGACTCTGATAATAGCTGTGAAGCTGGGTAGGCTTGGGTTTCGATCTTGGGACTATCATGCTCCTATATATTCACTCAAGTTAATCAGTCTCTTCGTGACTATTTTCTCATCTGCAGCACAGGGGTAAATACTATATGTCGTGCAAAGTTACTGTGAGAATTACAAAGAGGTGCTATTTATAATAGTTACCAGACAAGGTAAAGAAGTCAATGAATAAGAATCCAACTATCTCCAAAAAATATACTATTTTGCGTGTTCAATTATTTGTTGGACCAAAACAGCAACTATTTTATTATATCACAATTTTGTGGTTAAAGATTTAGACAGAGCTCAGCTAAGTGATTCTATTGTCCTGGTTGTTAGATTAGACTAGATGGACTGATCTGGAGGTTTCAGATAGCTTCACTCCCATGTGACTTGGTGGAGTTGCTGTGACGGCTGGGCTCAGCTCAGACTGTCAACTGGACCATCCACATGAGGCCACTGAAACCTGGCAGTCCCAGAATAGATATATTCATTGGAGGTCAACTCAGGGCTCCAGAGTATGTTCCAGAGACAAAGGCAGCAACAGCAATACTTTTTATGACCAAGTTTTGGAAGTTACACAGTGTCATTTCCACCACTCACAAGCACATCTTTGGTTCCAGTTAACTCTCAATGGGAGGAGTAATGGATAATTTGTGTCCATTATTAACCTAAGATGTCCTCATTAATTAATTAATTTGCTTGTTGAAGTAACATTGCATTATAACATGTAAATTTCCAGTGTGCATCAATGAGAAGCAACCTGTGTTAAGTTCAACGCTAAACAGTTCTATCCTTCACCATACCATTGTCCCCTTTATCCTGATTTATTTAGCACTTTCCCCTGTCTTTTCTGGTAACTATTAGCTGGTCTAATGGTCCAAAAGCTAATTTTTGTTTTATTTAGTTCATCTGTTTGTTTGCCCTATATGCTGCATGTGAATGAAATCAGATGCTGCTTGTCTTTCCCTGTCTGGCTTATTTCACTAAGCAAAATTCCCTTTAAGTCCATCCAAATTGTTGCAAATGTCAGTATCCCTTCCTTTTTAAAAGATGATTAGGGGGCCCTCCCTGGTGGCACAGAAGTTGAGCCCTGGGTTGCGAAGCTGCCCACAGCCTCTGCAGCGCTGTCCGATCCCTGGCCCCCGGGTGAGGGTCCCACATGGCGCGCAGACCTCTCCTGCTGCCCACTGCTCCCCTCAGCGGTGTACTTCGTCAGTCTGCCTGCTCTGCTCTCCCATGTGGCTCTGGTGAATTCTCACCCTCCCGCATTTCTGACTGTACCCAGTGCTTGTATAAATAAATAAAATAAATCTTTTAAAAAAAAAAAAGGATAAGCTTCCTTTCACTTTAAAAATAAACAAATAAATAAAAGATGAATAGGATTCCTTTGTGTATATACCACATCTTCTTTATCTATTTGTCAGTCAATGGGCACTTAGGTTGCCATACATAAAAAAATTTCACGGGCCTCCCCGGTGGTGCAGCGGTTGAGCGCTGGGTTGCGAAGCTGCCCTCAGCCTCTGCAGCGTCGGTTCGATCCCCGACCTCCAGGCAAGGGTCCCACATGGCGCGCAGACCTCTCCTGCCGCCCGCTGCTCCCCTCAGCAGTGTACTTCGGTCCTTCTGCCTGTTCTGCTCCCCACTCTGGCTCTGGTGAATTCTCTCACCCTCCCATGCTTCTGACTATACCCAGTGCTGGTATAAATAAATAAATCTTTAAAGAGAAATTCACTAAAATTAACCACCAAAGCAACCAAAGAGGGTGGAGGGGAGAAGATACATATAATAACGATGGTTTACATTACTTTCCCACATTTCTTCAAATTGTTTTGGCAACATTTGAAAACTGCTTGTCCTTTCAAACAACCCAAGAGACTGGAATTTCTCAGCACCCCTTTTTCATACAATGTATGAAATTAACTAGTCACCGTTCTTATTATACTTATAAAATGGGCAAAAGAAAGGTGTCTTCCTCTTCTCAGAGGGAAGAAGTACAGTGTACTTGAAAATATGAAGAACTTAGTCCTATTGTAACAAGGTGGTCCCCAGGAAAGGGGGAGATTCCAGGTTCCCTGCCCCACCCAAGGAAGGGTGGAGCTGAGTGGGTTAGAGGAGAAGCTGGGGAGGAGACTGGAAGAAGGAAGAAAATCTGTTACAGTGCAAGGGGAGGGCCACCCCAGAACCCCAAACCGGCCTATTCTAAATAGGTTCTGCCATCTGCTGCATCAAGGCAAAACATACTCTAGTGTGTAAGACCTTTAATGGAAAGGAACTTTAATACAATTAGTGTGCAATACAGGAAAGGGGAAGAATATAGTTTCCAAATCAAGCACCCAAAGTTACCCATCCTTTCATGTGGGTAGATATCCAGCCAAACAGGGTTGGCCCAAAGCCCGGCCACTGAGGCCCAAAAGCCTGCCATAAGTATAAAGCACATTCCAGCAAGCATCTATAGAAAAGGGTCAGAAACAAGTCTGGGAGGAAAAGAGCAAAATCAAAATCAAGATCAAAACTGCCACTGTGAACCTCCCCGCGGGTCTCTCACCCACATCTGTTTCAACCAGTCCAAGGTTGAGAAACAAGCACCAATTCTTACACGTCTCACTGCTTCATGCGCCCCCTTCAGCTCTCCCTCATCCTTCCTGCTTCCTTCTCCAGTCTCCTCTCCAGCTTCTCTGCCTGCTCAGCTCTGCCCTTCCTTGGGTGGGCAGGGAACCTGGAATCTCCCCTTTTCCTGGGGGCAACCCTGCTACACTATTTGAGATGAATTTTTTAACAATTTGGAGTAGAAAGTGGGATTCACTTACTATCTTTTTTTTTGCTTCAAATGTGGAAAAGTAATTTGTATTAACATTTTTGAACCCTTTTTTTTAAATTCCAGATGTATTTGGGGAGAAAAAAACCCATGTGGGGGAAGGAAATCAATAATGCTATTGTGCAAATCCAAGTGAGTGGTTCTACCAAGAAAAGCACTGGAAAGTGAAGCCAGTGAGCACCCATGTGCTGAGCAGATGTTAAATCCAAAATAGACACAGAGTCCTGAGCCCAGCTGAAGCAGAAGCTCATGGACCCAGCCAATAGCTTCTCCTTTGGTGACTTGCAAACAGTGAAAACTTCACGATGGAGTTAGTAGGGAGGATCTGAAGTTTCCTGAGTGAGAAAGACTATGTTTCTCCAAATGAGAAAATTAACTGAAACTGATTTGGAAAAATGTTTTTATGCATATTTATAAGAAGTTGTTTTTAAAAAAATTGTCCTTTTTTTAAATGTCATTCTCTGATATATAAGGAAGAGAGATTTTTTAATATAGTATCTATTTTATCTATTTCACTTTTGTGGGAAAAGCTGCGTGGTTAATGGGAGAAAAACCAGCTGATTCTTGTAGTAAAATACACCTAGAATCATCTCAGTTATTTCATTTGTTTGCTTATCTTTAATGAAGTATCCTTGTACTCTTATTTCACCCAGAATATTTCACTTGATGAGACAATCAGGACAATAGAGGATACTTTAAAAACAACAAAATTGTTTTTCTTTTCAAAACAATGCTTCCTAAAAGAACATCCATTGATCAGATCAACCATGAAAAATTTCTTAATTTAACTAAAGCAAGTTCTTACTTTTTTTCCTCTAAAACTGTGACCAACTTAAGAAACACACATACAACTAAAATCACTAAAACAACAATCAGCTATTTAATATTGTTATTTTAAAACTTACCCTGTAAAAATGATTCAATTTGTCAGTAAGACATAATAAATCAGAAATCACATTCTGCTTTTTTACATATGGGCTCTGTAATGAGAGATGTAGTGGTGAGGTTTGTTCTCCTTGGAAAGATTAAATTTGGCTTAAATTCATCTTCTCACGCTGAAGCACACCGTTCATGAGATCCTAAATACCCTGACCAGGTGTCATGACCTCCTAGAAAGGAACCATTGTCAAGGAATCCCATTCATTGATAACAACCTGTATTCTAGTTCATAGCAGTTTACCAAAAATATTCACATATGTTTCTGCATTCGATCTCATAAGCATGTGAGTTAAGATTTACTTGGCCCACTCAATAATTAAAGACACTGAGGATCTGAAACAACACTTTTTCCTTCTTCCCCAAGTCCCTGACCAGTCCTGAGCGAAGCCAGTACTGAGATTACACCCTTTCCACTGAGCCTTCTCCCAGCCTCCCCACCATTCACCAGCACTATCTATTTTTTTTTTCCAATATTTAAAACCAGTTTGTAATTGGGGGGAACATCTAAATCCTTAATTAAAAAACACAAATGAAGTGGAAGCTTTAAACTGGTACACACTGTTCACACCTATATTTCAAGTTTGGAAATGCATATTTGCAAGCAGCAATACAAAAGTATTCATGAAGAATGCATAATCTCTGAAAATTATGAAAACATCCCTGCTACCAATACATTTCTAAATACAAAACTGACTACCATATTGTTACTTCTGTGTAGCGAGAGAAGTTCATTTTCAAAACAGATAAAATTCAGTCTTTAGGTGTGAATGGTATGAATGACAGTCTTTTTTTTTTTTTAATTTCTTAGTCGTTTGGGATCCTTAAGCATGCAAAACCTCAGACAGGAGGGTCCACAAAGGAACCAGGGTTGTCTTATGGCATCCAGTTAAGCCAGAGCTGGGAATGCCTCTGGGTCATCTACATCAGGAGCAGAAGCACTTGACTTGTCAGTCCTGCTGCCACGGTTAGGACGTCCACCACGCCCACGGCCACCTCGTCCTCCCCTGCCACCACGTCCAGGGCGGCCAAGGTCTCCAAAATTGATCTCCAGCTGAGATGTTATATCATTTGCTGGCTTCCGGAAATGATGGTCCATAACCGAATCTTCCGCATGAGCCTCTTCACTCTTTGACTTATGAAGAACAAACCCCTTCTTCCACTGTCCATCAGCACCTTCATTTGGTTTTCGGATATTAAATTCTACTTTTGCTCGGTCCTTATTTTGAATAGCCTTCCATTCATCCAAAGTCATCTCTTTTGGACCCTCTTCCTTTACTTCTTCAACTTCATTCTCCTTATTTTCAGTGTCTGCCACTGGATGTTCTTCACCTTCAGGTGTTTCCTCAGTCACATTTGATTGATCCAAGTCAGTTAATTCATCTTTGACAGTTCCCCAGTTGTGAGATCCGCTACCTCCACGTTTGTCCTCATGCTTCAGGCCACTATAATGTGAGAAAGAAGATCTATCACTTCCACTATGCCTATCAAATTCACGTTTGCCACGAGAATCAAATCCATCTCCTCGGCCCATTCCACGTCCACGGCCTCCTCGGCCTCTTCCAAGACCACCGCGGCCTTGGATAGGCGGGTCAATAATCGGTCTATCAACTGAAAATTCTCCTCCTTCACCCTTTTCTTCAAGTGGCTTTTCGAATCGTCGTTCACGAGGTGGTCGCCTTTCTGGTCTCCTATCAATTATTTTCCCTTCACCCTGAAGTTGCTGATCAGGTCTTCTTCCAACACGTCTTATTCCTTCTTTCTTCAGCGCCACGGGCGGCTGCGTCTCCTCTTTCTTGTCAACCACGCCAATGCTGGGAGGCAGTGGGTTCTTGCGGTCTTTCTGGGACTCTTTACGCAGCTGTTTACCTGCCGCGTTGGAGTTGGTCTGAGCTGCGGCCTGAGCTGCGCTCTTGGACCCAGGGCCCCCAACGCCGCCCCCGCCGGCTTCTTTTTTCTTGTTCTCTGCTGCCTTCAACACCTCGAAGGGGTCCGATTCGTCGTCAAATAACTGGTCGAATCGGTTGGTGACCACGCAGCCGAAGCCTTCCTGTAAGTGGCCAGGCATGATGGTGGCTCGGCGGCGCGTTCCTCCACGGATTGCAGCGGGCCGCGCCGAGCCAAGAGCGCCTGCTTCAGCTCTTCCCACAAGATCTCACCAGCACTATCTATTGCCATCACACTGATTGCCTTCCCTGACTTCCATACACGCTGTCCCTCACTTCTGTTTGCTTGTTTTTTATTGGTTGTTTACATGCTGCTTCTCTTGTTCAGACACCTTTAGCCCAGAATGACTTCCCTAAACATACTAGCCTATCTCTCTCTCACAATTTTCAATAGACCCCACACCACTTAACATCTGTACTGCACCATGGCATTGTTCGTGTTATTCCCCCTTTTCTTCTCTAATATATGCAAGACTCAGGCATTCAAATGGCACATAAATACCTTGGAGGCAAGGGTTAGACCACTTATTTATACTCCATCCCCCAAGTGCCAAACAGTTCCGTATGAAGAGCAGGAGAGTACATATTAATCATATGAGCAACTTGAAAACCTCTGTTTTTGAGCTAGATGCCTGAGTTCCTCTGTCTGAAATCCTCTCTATGTTTCTATCTTTTCAACTCCAACCCAGCTTACATGTCACCTTCTTTGTAGCTCTGTCCTAAAGCATCAGGGAACTTTCAGCCTCTGTCTCCCAGCGTTTGTCACACTCTGTGGTGATTATCTACACATCTGTCTCTCCCTTCAAGCAACCTGAAACATATATGCAGCAATCAATACCAGCCACGGTTTCAAATACCTTCTGTACTCTTCTTTAGTTGTTAATTGGAGGCATTCTTAACTCCAATTAGAGCAGAGAATATGTCTTGGTAGATATTTGTGGGGTGAATGCAGTCTTTGGACAGAGATCAGCTCTAAAGCAGTGAAATCATCCCCAGTGAAATCTATTCATCCCTGAAGAGGAATAAACTAACTCCACAAAGTCTTTCAAAATCACCCAAACATTTTTCAGAGGAAGTGGTGTAGTAATGTGAAATTTTCTGTCACAAACAAATCATTATCTTCACAACACCCTTGGCACAACCCTACTGGAAGAAAATTGATGGTAAGCAAAGCAAGTTGTCCTGTGAATAATTTTTCACAAAGAAAATGTCTGATGGAATTTTTTTTTCTCACAACTCTAGAATTAGCATATTTATGTGCTCCATAAAGATTTTATCTAATTTCTGAAATATATGGAATTTGACTTTTCTTAGCATATTTTATATGGAGGATAATGAAAAGTAATGAGCTGAGTATAGACTATTATATCAAAGCGAATAGTATGATCATTATTCATCCCAAACATTAGGCTCTATTTTCATTAGATCTTAGTGAATGTGGTCTATTTTAATGAGATCTTAGTGAATTTTTTGGTATGAATGGATTAAGAGTTCTTGCTCTGGAATGGCAATGTTACAGACACCAGGGAGGCCTTACATAGGAACCAACAGAGGAACAAAGGCTCAGAGAGCAGAAGCAGGATTGCCTAGGAAACTGGTTTAACATACAGATGCTCTGGCCTCAGCCCCAGAGACCTGAATCAACTACTCTGCTTTTAATAATAAAAGTAAAGGGGCCAATGGACAAGGGAGATAAATTCTACTGACTTGTTAGAACCGATTGTGCCCACTTCATCCCAACTCTGCATGCAGTGATTACACGCCGCTAAGTCAGGCACAGTGGCAATGACTACAATGTGAAAAATGGCAACGACTATGTTTTTATGCCTTTACCAGGACTCATCAAGAGTGCCAGCCTTTCTCTGTGAGTGCCAGTCTTTCTCTGTGAGAGAAACTTTTGGATAATCCTTGGTCCTGCTATAGTTTTCTGATAAACATTCTATTATGGGTTTAGGGAGGATCATGTAGAGACCCAAAGTTTCCAAGTTATTCTCTTGGTGAAGTGAAATTTAAAAGATCCAAGGGAATGAGTTAATAGTTACTTAAGTAAGCAAGAAAAACTAAAATTTCTTGTGATGGTGAAGTTTTTAAGGGCCTATGACCCAGATTTTTACACTAGATAAGGGGATCTAGAGGAAGATGTAGAGAAGGGTGAACTATAGACCTGTTTGGTCAACTTTCTTATATTGAATCATGTCCAAGTGCCCAGTTGTGTTCCAATCCAAGGCTATTTTGAGTCCAATACTGAACCTAATAGGGGATACTCCCCCACTCCTGGCTAGGAGGTGTGCTTTTACACTCACCTGTTCACCTAATACAAACCAGAACTAGAGAGGGACAATGCTAACTTAGTATTTTATCAAATAACACAGGAAACTAAGAAATTGGGTGTTGAGATTTTAATTCTTTCTTCATGCCAACATTACTCATGAATTTCGAAATAACTGGTCATCTGTGTGTCCCATGACTGTGAAAACATTCACACTCTAGAGGCTCATATGCAATGTTTTTGGGTAGGAAAACTACAGTTTTAAAGTGGAAAAAATATCTTGCAGCTTCACTTACTGATGTAAATTGAGTGATAAAAGCCTTCTTTAAAAATAACTGTGATAGAGTGGACTAGGACTTGGCTCACAAGAGAATTACTAAGGATCGGTCCTGTAAAAGAGTAGTAAATATGCCAAGAACCCTCTAAGGGATGATTTTGCAAAACAGACACTGCATGGGATCACATTGACCCCACCTGGCAACACATTGACCATCTATGTCCACTTTCCTGGTAAACTTGTGATTTTATAAAATTCTGTTTTCTCCAATAAAGGATTTCCATTACTGACCAACTAAATGTATTAATGTTCATCTTAAAAATACAAAACAGAAAAAAATCTTTAACCTGATAATGTATCTCAATTTTAGATTTGAAAAATATCTTGTCCTCATTTATAGAATTCTTCACAGATTCCTTATAGCTAGATACATGTCAGAAGTACATTGTGTCTTTTAAAAGGAAGTGTATGCACCCTGGACACAACCAGCATCTTGGTTTAAGTGCAGGACTGGTTTCTCAAGCCTCAAGTGTCACAATGAACATTGTTTCTTCTGGGACAATGTGTTCATCTATGGAACTAATTTCATAAAAGAAAAGAAAAGGGGTAATAATGAAAGCATTATAGGATAACTACAGTGTTTTTCTAAATGTTTTACTTACAGTCATTTCACTGAGTATAATGTCCTCAAGGTTCATCCATAATGTAGCATGTATCAGAATTTCCTTCTTTATTGTTGAATAATATCCCATTGTGTGTGTGTGTGTGTGTGTGTGTGTGTGTGTGTATGTGATTGGTCAATAGAAACGGGATGCTTCCTTGTTTTGGCTATTATGAATAATACTGCTATGAACATGGGTGTACAAATATCTCTTTGAGATTTTGCTTTCAATTATTTTAGGTATATACCAGAAGGGAATAGATTTATTTCCCAAACTTTTAGATTGCAGAACCCTGTTTATATTGAACCCCTATTAGCATCATAAGAACCTTGTATTCTGTGACTTGCTAGTTGGATTGTCACTTTTTTCTCTTCAAGAGAAAAAAAAACCCTCTCCTAAGGACTAGAGTCAAAATAAGGGGGGAGGGCAATTGTGTGGGGAATATAACCATAATGAAAATGTATACATTGTGCAAAGATGAAAAATGATGTAAGAATTACATAAAGTAAAATATTTTTTAAAAAACCCTCTCCTTAAATAGGTTCTTCCTCTTGCATACAGCTTTACACATAAGGATACTTCACCAGACTAACCCACTTCTCAAATAATTGACCGCTTAGTAAGAGGTGGGCCACAGGCACGAAATTGATGCTTGAGATAACCAGGGCATTCCTGTTCAGAATGGAAGAAAGCCAAGCTTCCATTTATGAAACCAAATAGTTTGCACTCCAGGGATGGCACTACTGCCCAGATTCCAAATGTCACTCTTTTACAATTCATAATTAAAGGCATCAATTTTGTTTTCTGGGGAAGTTTTACTATCTACCACATGTGCTGTGTCTTTATTGTGCATTTGCTATTGAATTACATTTCCTGACATTCTCTTGCCAAATTATATCTAAAAAAGTAAATTCTCATTAAGTTAACACTCACTCCAAATCCCTTGCAACAATATGCAGTCCACGCGGTTGTCACACTGCTCAGTATGTAGACATAAACATGCATTTTACAGGAGGAGGCAGACCACAACCTCAGTTCTGCAGGAAGCAGGATGTGCTGACTTTCATGTTTTACTCCCTGGAGTTTCTGAGGTCAGATGTTACTACCAACAAGCAGATTTCCTTCACTGCCTTTGTATCCTGAGGTGCTCTTAAGTTCATGGGTATTTAAGATGAGCTGTCCCAATGTTACTTCACTGCCCCACAAACGCCAAACAAAAGGACCATGAAGAAAGAGAGTTGGACTGTGCAGCATGAGAGGGAGCTCCGTGAGGGGAGCTTGGGCTCAGCTATACCAGGGACAGAGCCCTGAAGACTTTGCAACAACGAGACTTGTTCAAAGAGGTCCAGGTTTTATGTAAAGGAAGTCCTTTTATAATTGTCAAGACAGTGTGAAGAAGGGGCTCCTACTCACACTGCAGGCTTATCATCCCTATATCTATACAGGCACCAAGGGCATCAAGCTAGCTAGCAAGACAGAATGTGGAAAATCTGTCCTTTCTAAAGCCTGACTTCTATCGGCAGTGTGATTAAGCCCAGGAAGCCCAGGGTCCCTGCTCAGAGTACTTCTTGTTTGAATGCCCTGCTCCTGTGATCTCCCAGACAAGGCTCTCTATGGGTGAGAATCCCAAGGCACCAAGCCTGTGAGCACCTCCTTTCTCCTCAAACTACATGTTCAGCACAAGATCACAGAATTGACCACTGAGGGCCTTCAGCTAGAAAGGAGATTTCCTGGGTATGTTCTCTCAAAGGGCCATTCTGAGACATCAGGGGTGGACAAGGAGTGGCTGTTTGCAGAACAGAAGGGAGAAAGGTTTGGATAGAGCTTAGACATGCAGTCTGGGAGAGGTGCTTTGCAGTGAGGAACAGAGCTAAAGGTGGGAAAAAAGCGGAAGTGGGTGTCCATTTGTACTCTTGCCTCCAAATCCTGCAAATGATGGAGGTAGGTAGACTCGCTGAATTTATCCTGGTAAGCACCATATTACAATGGCCAAG